GTTTTAAATGCATCTCTGAGCTCAATCGTTGTACTTACATACATACATGCATATGTACAGACATACATACACACGCTGAGAAGTGAAAACAAAAAGCATTTACATTTGCAGTGCCGTCTACCAGACTGAGCATATCATCATTCATCGGCATGATAAAGTTCTCAGCGTTTCATGTGATGAATTGTTGCGATATTGCATAATAATTATGGTTTAACAAGTAACATCTATAGCACGCTCTTTATTCGGGCTGCAATGCCGTGAGCAGCCTGAACACGCCTCTCAATAACTCTGTGTAATGATAAGGAAATGCATTTGTATGGAAATAAATGAGATGTTCCTGTTCGACCGTAACATCCCGAGGCGTCGCCTTGGGAGAGGCATTTTTCGCCCTATCTCCCGCCATCACCTGTCTAAAATTAATTGTCAAAACAATTAGATATTGATGAAGTGTCATTTTTGCATATTCCTCAGGTAGGCAATTATGTTCAGTTTTAATTTCGGGCTAAACTGAGGTAACTGATGATTAAAACCAAATATTTCAGCTTTATTGAGTTGCCTTCTTCACTGTTTTTTTATATTTCAAACTAGCGAACAAGACAATTCCGGAAAGCCGAAATATTTGGTTTTTGATGCTTTTTTACCCCAGTGTAGCCCGAAACTAAAGCCAAACATGTCAAAGCATTTTCTCAATCAGTGTAGGATGGGCGGGCATTTACCCTTAGGTTGTTCGCTGGATGTGACCTGGTGACCTGCCGACCTTGAATGACTTGAATCTGAAATTTTCACAAAATATGTATAAAATGATTTTTTTGTGCAGTTGGTTTTAGAATGCTTCCATGAATAATGAACGCGATCAAGTGAAAGCATATTCCTATATATCTTGTATTGTATTATACAATCATGAGCGATCCACATTCTGCAAGTGCGTGGCGATTACTGCTCAGAATCCGTATCCGCGGTTACTAATCTAAACATTCACAGCATTCACACATTCACTCACTAAGCACAAACAGAGACACTTTCGTAGTACCACAGGTACAACTCACCCACCCACCAACCCGTTGGTCAGCGACGATCAGTTGATGCCCTGTCCACTATCGCGGCTTTAACAGATCGGGCAAAGGGGGCGGGAGACAGCTGCGACAGCTGAGTTGGGAGACTGTTGAGTATAGAGCTGCGGCTCGATAGCCGAACCGCCGCCTACCCGTTTCCAGCCGTGGTCGCGGAAGGTGAAAGAGGTGGTCTTGCCTGGAGTGTCTCTCCCGGACAGCGCTGTTTGTGACGAACATGGTTGCCAATTCCTCGGGTTCGCCGCGCTGAATGGCTTTGTGGGCGATAACAAGGGTTTGGTAATCAGCCATATGACGCGGGGACAACCACCCGAGCTTTTTTCGAGGGTCAGAGACATGGGCAAATTTACGACGACCGAAAATGACTCTAGCAGCGAAGTTCAAAATTTTTTGGAGACGATCAAATTTTTTTGGGACCCATTGCCATAAACTGAGAGGCAGTACTGGATGCGTGAGATAACGAGTGCTGTCACGAGCGTTCTAATGACGCCATCTGGGAGACTGTGGCGCGCATGGGAGAGACCGATCAACAGTCCCGTACACCGGCGGCTGAGTTCGGAGACGTGAGCGTCCCAGGATAGAGTACTGTCAAAAGTGACGCCCAGGTTCCCCACCTGCGCGCACGGCTGCAACGCTGCGTCACGGAACGATACCCTGAAATCTGGCAATTTGCGTAAATTTTGACGACTGCCGAAGACAATGAGCTGTGTTTTACTGGCGTTGACCTTCAGGGCGTTAGCGCAGAACCATTCGTTGAGTGACGCGAGCGAAACCTCCATGCGCGAGATGAGAACTCCAAGGTCCCTGGCAGGACCGCTAACCAATACTTGGGTGTCGTCGGCATATTGAAAGACTACTGCATCACCCGCGTACAGCGATAAGTTGTTAGAGAAGATGGTGAAAAGTAACGGCCCTAACGCAGAGCCCTGGAAGACACCCATGGTATTAGGAAGAGGCCGAGACAGCACTCTACTTCCGAACCCATTTTTCAACGACACGCTCTGGGTGTGTCCATGAAGATAGGCGGCGAACCAGGAAATTTCGATACCGTGCAGCATAAGTTTTTGCATCAGAAGCTCGTGGTCTACAGGGTGGACCAAAAAGGATGGAAACATTTTAAACTGGTATAAAACATGTATCATTGCATGCATGTGACTGGGAATGATACTAAACAAGAGTACATTTCGTGGAAATTCATAATAGCATCACTCTCATATGTTTTCTCTCGTTTTCAGTCTCTCACAGCAGATGTTCGAAGTGACCACCTTCGCGAGACAGGCACAGAGCGACCAGCCTGGCTGCTGACACGATAGCCCGCTTGTATGGCTCACACAGCCTTGCTGATCGCTCTCTTCAGTTCAGAGACTTTCTGGACCTTCCTTGTAGACCTGGCCCTTGAGATGACCCCAAAGCAAAACATCCATAGGGATCAGGTCGGATGAGCAGGTAGGCCAGTTCTGACTGGCACCGCGGGATATCAGCCGGTCACCGAAGTGGCTTTCGATGCACTTGAGCGTTGTTTTTGCGATGTGGGGAGGGCACCGTCTTGCTGGAACCACATAAGGTCTATGATGGGGCTGCCATGCTTCGTTTGGACTCGCTCTCAGAACTTCCTCAGCGCCGCCTGGTATGCGCTGTTGATTGACGGTCACGGTGTCGCCGCTCCCTTCCTCGAACCAAAGTGGACCCACAATTCCTTTTCCGCTGAGGGCACGCCATTTCGGCGACCTTGCTGCTGTGCAGTGACTTCTTTATCATCTCATCTCAAGGGCCAGGTCTACAAGGAAGGTCTCTGTGACCTGAATAGAGCGATCACAAGACTGTGTGAGCCATACCAGCGAACATGTGTCGTCGGGCTATCGCGTCAGCCACCAGACCGGCCACTCTGTGCCTGTCTCGCGAAGGTGGTCTCTTCGAACATTTGCTGTGAGAGACTGAAAACGGGAGAAAGCAGATGAGAGTGATGCCGTTATGAATTTCCACCAAATGTACTCTCGTTCGGTACCATTTCCAGTCACATGCATGCAATGATACATGTTTTGTACGAGTTCAAAATGTTTCCATCCTTTTTGGTCCACCCTGTATCACGTCAAAACATTTACTAAGATCGAGAAGGCATAGCATTGAGATCTCCCCCCTGTCGGTGGCGGCCAGGATGCGTTCAGTGACGGACAACAAGGCGGTTTCAGTAGAGTGCCGGGGGCGGAAGCCGTGCTGTGAGCATGCCAGAAGGTGATTGTGAGAGAGGTAGATGTAGAGCTGCTGATGGACAATGCGCTCAACCACTTTCATGATTACAGGAACCAGGGAAATGGGCCGGAAGTTTGCGGGGTCTGAAGGATTGCCGGATTTGAACAGAGGGTGAACTATGGAATGTTTCCATGAATCGGGGATATCGGATTGAATTAAGCAGGTATTGATCATATGCAGGATGACACCACCAATAGCTCGGAATCCGGCTTTCAGCATGCGAACGCAGACACTGTCGGTACCGCAAGCACCCGAGCTACGCATGCTGAAAATCGTCCGCTCAAGCTCGGCAAGTGTGATTTCCCGAAGTTGAAAACTGCATGCGCCAACACGGGTATCTTCAACCAAAAAATGCGTCGTGATGTCGACAATCAGATTTGTTCGTTATCCTAGTGCCTATAATGTTCTGCAATATATGCATCTAAACGATTTTGCTCTTAACCCTCGCCCGGCGAGGGGGGGTTGATGCACCCCCCCTAAGTTTTTTTTCGAAAAACGAAGCATTTAAACAGTAATGTAATGCACAAATTACTGAGGAAGAAAAAAAGTACCCGCACCCACTGCTTGAGACAACCCCGCATTTGTGGCGCATGGCGCACACCGTTTGGGTGACGGAAAATACACGGGGCTGACTGCACTAAAACGAAATAGAAACATGATATTCAAGTGCAGCTTGACCACCGGAGAACGATTTACATTCACTGTTTTTGGCTTATTATCAAGGCGACATATTTTCACCACTTCCTTGATTTTGTCCAGGAAAAAGTGGGTTGTGAGACATGACTCTGTTTGGAAAATCAAACATCAAGGATGCGTACCTGACTGGTGACTTGAAAAAGGTCATCGATATTACAGTTTCGGTGCCTCAGACTCAGCAACTGTTACAAGAGGTGATGAGGTGTGCTAAGGAGCTAAAACATTGCATTGAGATAGATGATGAATTTTGGTGTAACTGCAAACATTTCTCCTTTGGATTAATTTAATGACTAGCATTTTTACCACTGAGCAAAGGCATTAATCGGCTTCTACAGAAACTGGTTCTCCTTTTTCCATTTCTTCACTGCATATTCATTGTCCTTCCCGTGCCACCCTTATGGTGCTTTGTGTATACTCTCATTTTTGTGGATGACGATGCACTGACGTACAACAATCAACAATCATTCAAACTATAGACCATTCAGCAACGTCACATTGTCCACGCCTGCTGCCACACTATACCCTAATTTTGAAAACTTTGTCGCTGAACTGGGTCCTATTCCGCAGTGAAGGTAATAGTTATACTTCGCCCGTGGTGAAAAGTTAGTTGCTCGAGTAGTGGAACTAAGAAGAAGCTGCATGCAACTTGGGGAATAAATTTTACAGAACTATTAAAAGTTGTCCTCTGGTCGACGACTGGGGTCGGAGGTGTGTGCTGCTCAGTTAGAGGGACTCGGTGCACGGAGGGCAGGCGGGTGCCGCTGGACAGGGGTAAGGGCGCGGTGCCGCACGGTCGGGCGGCGGCGGCCGGCGCGGGCGGGGGCGGACCGGCCGCCGGCGGGCGGGGGCGGGTCCCGCCGCGCCAGGTGGGGGCGGAGCCTCGTCGGCCGCCAGGCCCTCCGCCAATTAGCGCGCTGACTGGGATTTTTGCGCGCACGCCGAGCGCGTGGCCCAGTTGGAATCAATATCACTTGGGCCGGAGAGCGGGAAACATTGCCACCGGTGCTGCACCGTGGGCTCCGGCGCGGCGCGGCAGAGTCGTCCCACAGCTCCGTGTCACCAGCGGTAAGTACGCTCCGGGCCCGCCCCGCTTTTTAACTAGTTCTATAACAAAGTTTCGCAATGAAAAGTTGGAGCAATAGAAAAATTTTATCGACCAAACTTTTCTGTCCGAAGTTGCGCCCGTGCCCAAAGTTGACGGAGGAAGTTTGTTGCCAACTTTGTTCATTTAACTCAGGCCAAAATTTTGAAACTTTGGACGCCATTATTGACTACGACCCGTTTCCTATGGACTTCAGCAAACTCGGATTAGAGAAGTTCCACTGTGATTTTGAGGGGAGTCGCTGCCAGTAGTCGACAAGTGGTGTCTTCGCGTGGCTGTTGTGGCTGTCCGGGGACAGCGGTGGTCGTGAACGGTCTGAGCTCATCGCTTGCATCGTGCGTCAGTCCTATCTGCGACTTCCTAACTATCAATCGTGGTAGTGATATATAACCACGGACTCAGCTCTTTGATATTCTCTCGGGAATCCCATATTACAGTCCTTCGACTGACTGCGGCCAGGCATACCCATCTCTTATCTCTGCGCTTTTGATTATCCCCACATCATCTCACTAGCAATTCATCCCCGTCAGCGACCAGCACACCTGTGCCCTGTTTCGCCCCGGGCGGGTTGACATCTGACCCTCGGGGCCCGGCGCCGGCCGCAGCGACTTGAGACGGCCCCGCCCGGGGGACCGTGCTGACCCCGGGGGCGGTCCGTCCGGGGCGCGACAATGCTTCGGCTGGTCACTCGCACTGTGGTGTCAGCCGAGGGTAGTAGTGGGGAGCGCAGCCTCCACATCTCCGAGTCTGTAGCAGAGAGCGGCGGTGCGCGACTACAGAGGCGCTGGTGAGTTCGGCCAGAGGGAGTGGATTATTTGGGGCCCCTATCTTACAGCCTTTTGAGGTCAACTTATATCCCTTCGAAATTGTATCGTGGACTCAGTAGCTAGCTCTTTTGAACTGGCTTGGCCTGGTGATGTGAGCTTGGTGAGGTGCTTCGCAGGATGTGAGCCGATGAGCTGAAACTGTATGCGAATCCAGTCGGTTAATCCGGGTGAAATATGATACTGTGATAGGCAGCCAGCTTTTGCTGGCTTTTGCTTAGTAGGGGACTGAGTTTATCCAATGATCTTTGTCCAATGATCTCCAATGATCTCCATCCACCCAAGAAACCATCTTCATACTTGCTGTTTTGTCAGAACACTTGAATCGAACAGAGCTTGACTGCATGATTCGCGGTTTGTGACTAAAAAATATAAATATTTACTTTCAAATATTTCAAAAAGTTAAAGCATCCTGTCTTCAGTATTCCAGTGGTTTAGTGAAAGTCATCTGCCGTTTTCGAATTCAAAAATCCTTCCCTAAAAGCTTTACATGATGCGGTTTAAAAGTTTCATCTGCTGCTCACTCTACAAGAATGGATAGCATTTTTAACTAAATAGTAACCTTTTTCAAAACGCTTTGGCTATTACTAGAATTGGTTACCAGAATGGCATCAACACCTAATCCTGTGAGCCAAGAAACGACGTTTTAAAGTAACGGCTTCTCACAGAGCATCTATTTTAGACGCCGCTTACCGTTTAGCATTTGGGACTTATGTGCGTTGGATGAAAGATATTCGCAGATCGGACAATTAACAGAAAACAGCTAATAACAAGAAGCATAAAAGCGTTATGTTGCGTCTTTCTTTTTAATCTTTAACAATGATTTCCTATAGCTGTATTCTTTGTTAATTACAGAAATTACCTCAATCATACGTATGTGAAGAATGTTTGTTTGAAATATTAGCCTTTACATTTATAAAGCAGCGCAAGTCTAGCCAAAGTAACATAACATATTTTGCCTAGCCCTTCCTGAAACAACCATTTTCATGTTGCACAGGAAGCGTCTAGCGCGGTACAAGCGCACATTCCTTTTTGAACATTTGTAGGCGCACCTTTCCGTGTTGACCTTACACTCGTTTTTAAGCACATGTTTAAGCACATGCACATGTTTATGCACATGTTCGTTTTTTAAACACATTGTAGTGTTCGGATGGTCCTATGTTCGGTTGTATGCCAATTGCAGATGGCTAAAATGTTTACAGGCGCCCTTTATTTTTTTATTTTTTATTGTCATATTGCTCGTAAGCCGCTTAGCGATTCTAAATTCACAGTTTCATGATCTTTACCTTCATCAGAATTGGATTCCTGTTTGATGCTCATATGTAAGCTAAATTCTCAGTCAGCTTATGGATTCTGTTTTGATTGGGCTGTGATATCACACTTAAGGATTGTATTGATGATAAGGAAAAAATCACGCCTTCCAATATGTACAACTAGCCAATTCAATACAGAACACTGATGAACATCATGATTTAGTCGAATCCATGTCTTATTTTCCTGCTGCGGTTAAGTCACTTTTGTCAAAGTGCGTCAGAACGACATGTGCTCTGAGTATCTCTGACGGCGTCTGTTTCCGGTTCAGAGATGATGGATGAGCGCTCCGTCCTTCTGTACAGGCGGTGGTTTAAACGGGCGCCACGGCTGGCAGTCGGAAATCACGGCGGCGCGCGCGCTAATTCCTCCGGCCGCTCCTCCCGACACGGATTTTTGCTCGCCCAGCCTCTGATTGCCACTCTTAATTAGTAAAAGTGGCTGCGTGTTTGCTGCCACGCGAGTTTTCGTCGTTTCTCGTCTGAAGAATCTCAGATTGTCTCATTTGCGCGTTCTCTCTGTCTGTCGTCTCCCCTTTGGCAGCTGGTGCCGGCGGCGACGCGGGCGCGTGGTGGGACCACATGAGGGGGCGGCGGGAACGGCCTGGGCGGGCGGCGGTGTGACTGAGGCTTGGAGGAGATAATCCATTGGCCATGGATTAGATGTCATAGCTTCATCCGTGTCATAGCTGAGAGGTAGTCATTCTACCCATTAGCGGCGACGACAGTTGCATTCCGCAATGGCATGTACCGGTACAGAGCCGTGTTTGACGGGAGGGAATGACAGAAGAGTTGGGCTGATCGGGATCTTTTCCTTCCCATTGATGCTCAAACGTTTCACGATGCAGATAGGTAACTGATGCTTTGGAAATATAGCAAACCATAGCAACTGCTGATTGACTTGTGGCAGTTGTACCTAATAATACCAGCTATTGATAAATTTCAAATAAAAAGCCCTAAGATAAGCTATCAAAATATGAGGCAGCGCATTTGAGCTTTTAGAATGAGAAAATAACATGGATAAGGTAATACGCCAATTTTTCACAATTTGTCATAAACATCTCCACGTGATGGCAGTAAAATGTGCGATGACATAATAAAATGCAATCAATATTTAATACAACAGATAAACATAACGTCCACCCTATCAAACTCCACTAGTTTTGTATTTGCAATTAACTTAATTCAAGAGTGTGTTTCATAGTGGCAGTAGGCCCAGGAAACTACTTTACTGTGCGCGTATTCCGTGTTATTCAAGTGTTATTCACAGCCAAATTTCAAGCGTTCAAGCGATGATGCGGCAATAACCGAGCCTTTTTTCATGGTTGTTTGCGTATGAAACTTATGAATCAAAAACAAACTACTGTAAATCTGTTTCTCATAGATGAATTCATTTGAAAATAACATTTAAATTAATCAAGAATAAACCCCTGCATGGAAAGATATAGGATTATTCATGGCACACTTGTGGAAGATCGGGTATCTTTTCCTCCCTTGTTACAGAAAAACCTCGCTCCCTCGTCGCTCGGTTTGTCAGCAACCCGCTTGGAAAAAAATACTTATTTTCCACTCGGAGCCATGAAAAAATCCTCTCTATCCAACAAATCATACAGCTGAATCGCAAAAAAACAATTTTAGAGCGTAACTATTGCCTTACTGATTTCTGAAGCAAAGAGTGCTTGTATTTCTATTATAGACTTTAATATGAGCTGCTTGTTTTGGAAGGCTATCGTGGACTTTATTCATAAACCTCTCTCCCTCTCTCTCTCTCTCTCTCTCTCTCTCTCTCTCTCTCTCTCTCTCTCTCTCTCTCTCTCTTTCTCTCTCTCTCTCTCTCTCTCTCTCTCTTCCCCCTCTCTCTCTCCCTCTCCCTCTCTCCTCTCTCTCTCTCTCTCTTAATATAAAATGCAGGATATTCTATAATTTAATGGATGAATATATTATCGTCCACATTTGCAAGTACCGTCTGGCCGATGAGTTCTACCCAGGCGCAAGCATGTTTGACTTTTCCGATGTAATACATTTAGCGCTAAGCGCCACATTGCGAAGGAAGAATTTCTAGCCGATTTATGTATTTAAAACGTTTTACACAAGTCGCGGTGCTATCATTGCTTTTCTGTTCAATTTCTACAATGATCGTGACACATTCTAAATCCATTTTGAATCCATCCTCCGCTCGCCGTTTCGCCACCGGTTTTTACCATTCGGCACCCTCCGACCACCGCGTCCCAGAGGCGACAAATTTCCAACACCGCTCCGACCGTCTCCCCTCTGTCGCTGACCAGTCGGGGGGGGGGCGAGGGGCGACACATCCCATCGGTGTCCACTAGCCGAAATGGTGCTATCGTCAACAAGTTGTCGGCGCGAGCCGCGCGGCATCTCTGGTGAATGATGGATGAGAGAGGGATCGCGGCCATCGGCCGGCTGTGATGGATGGTGCGCAGACCGCGGTGGAGGGCGAACGGCTGCCCGGCCGCGCCTTGGAAATCCCCAGACTGCTCCAGGACCGGAGTCCAAACTAATAACTGCGACCAATTCTAGAATCACGCTGCCATGCTAAATGCAAATGCCTTTATAGACATTTTGTTTACACACAACGCAGCCTTTTTCTTTTTACTTGAAAGGAAATCAACAATTTGTTGGGCGCTGCCTACCATGTTGACCTCGAATTTGCCATGACTTGAAATCTATCCGTAAAGTGAAAAAGAGTGGTAACAAACAGACGAAGCTAGAAAAAGCTGCGCTTTAGAAGCTTCCTATGTCAGTTCATGCCAGCAGTCGACATCGGCTGCCTCTTAGCCCTTACATACATCCCCTCTCCAAACCAGC